CGTCGACCTACAACCCTCCTTGGACTCCTTGGAAAACAGTTCAAGAGGAATGGGATAAAATAACTCTTCCGATACTATAAAAGGCTTTATTGTCTTGAAAATTACGGTGTGGAAAGATAGTGAAGAATAAGGGCTACCAAACAGAACATTTAAAACATAAAAAGCTTAGATAAAATATTTACTGCAAATACAAGGAGAATTGTCTAAAAATTGTGTGAGCAGCCTTTGTGTTAAGTAAGTTAAGAACTTATAATATGACAGATTTTCAATGCAAAGCTTGATTTATATATCTAATATACAACTCGATGCTCTAAAGATGAATATTCATTATACGCCCACATATGGGGGCGGTAATGATGAAATGAATTTCTGCTATGCATGCGACGATGACACAATATTGATGAATAAGGCGACGTCCCACTAAATTTCAAGGAAAATGTCAAACAAAACATATTTATTGATACTGTAAAAATGGTATAGAAATGTAATTATTATGAGAAGAACCTATCAGCCATTATCATATCTTCAAATTCCCACCAGATTCTGTTATGTTCTGTAAATTGTCCTGGAGGTCTGCATCAGTCGAGTTTATCAAACTTAGTTACGGAATGGTTTAATTTAATCTTAACGAGCTCGCTCGGGAATAGAAAAAACACGATGTAAGAAACAACCGCGAAGAGCATAAACAGCTGCTTGTATTGTATTATAAAGGGCGGCGTTTTCTATAGGGCCATAAAGGAGTCCTTTATAGTGTAGCAATAATTTATTAACAGGTTTAAATTAAACACGGACATCACATTTGACTTTAAGTAAATTACAGAGCAAGAGTCTGATATAGCCTATCGGGTTCATCACTTGGCTTTTACTGAAATATTTCTTTGGGTACTCACCAGAAGGCTATAATATCACCAGAAGGCTATAATATCTTCGTTGCTACAATTAGCCCAATAGTTTATATTAGCAGCAGAGTTTATAGTAAAGGATTGGTTAGAAACCACACTAGCGTTAATTATAAGGTGGGGAGTCATTTTGGATGGTGTCATAAAAGAGTCCTTTATCGTGTAACAATAATTTATTAACAGATTTAAGTTTCTTACGGACATCAATTTAACTTTAAGAAAATTACAGAGCAAGAGTCTACAGCCTATCAGGTTCATCACTTGGCTTTTACTGAAGTATTTCTCCAGCTGCTCATCAGAGGGCACTTTCGTTGCTACAGTTAATCCAACAGTTTATATCAGCAGCAGATTTTATATTAAAAGATAAGTCGCAGTATTGTAACGTATATATATATATATATTGTATATATACAGGGTGGTTCAAAACTATATGCAATATGCAAAAAATGTAAAGGCAGGTAGCAGAGACCTGAATAAGTACGTTTCGTATAGGAATGTGCGCGTGGTAACGCCGTATTAAGGCGCTAGCATGTAAAGCAGTATCAATCACAAGAAACTGAAAAGACCAGTAAAGAAAAAAAAATTACAATAGCTGCTCGAAAGAGCGGCTACCAACAGCGATACAAGATTCACAGCGGCAGCGCATGGATCGGCATATATTAGAAAAGACGTCAAGCATGTCGAGCACATGTCCAGCAGCAACAGACAAGAGGGCAACAAAATCCTTTTCAGAGGTGACAGAACTCTCGTACATGAGGCTTTTAATATGATCCTAAAAGAAGAAATACAAGCAGGTTAAAATGAGGCAAACGCGATGGCCAGGAACTGATCCGCACCGTCCTATCCAATGCTTGCCGTGGACAGCATCCAGGTGATTCCTGACGTTCAAGCTAAAGTGAGTTGGAGATCCTTCTTGCTGGAACCACATTCGTCTGCGAACAGTTGGAGGAACATCGACCAAAATATCAGATAAGACCTCCTGTAAGAAGATGCTGTACGTGTGGCCAGTTAAACGATTAAGCTATAATGTACGGTCCAACTAAGTTATTGTGCACAATGCCTACCCAAACATTAATGGAAAAACCTTTCTAGGTAGGCGTGTGTTAATGTGCCATATGTGTTATCATTAGCTCACAGATGGGAATTATGGATGTTAAACATACCCGAGCGCGTAAAGGTAGCCACATCAGTGCATAAAACATCTGCAGCGAAAATTTAATTGCTTGCAGTCTGCTGTAGGTACCAAGGGGCAAAGTGGAGACGTGGAAGATAATTGTCAGGGGTCATTGCTTGCACTTTCTGTAAATGATACCGATGCATTTCATCTTTATGTAAAGTCCTCAAAGCAGGTGCATAGCTCACCTCTGCACGTCCTACAGCTCTCGAGCTTGACTAAGGACTATCCCCTACTATGTTTAGTATTCTTGCTTCCATTGCAGGGATTTTGTGATATTTTCCGATGCCAGTATCATGCTTGGACATATAAAACGATCCACTCGTGCTTAACTCCTGATGAGGACGCTCGAATGGTCTACGATTCGGCTAATTCCTATCGGGAAATCGCTCTCTTTACATCCTTTGAGCAGCTAATCTATTTCCTCGTGCACCCCTATACAGGAAATGAATGTTAGCAACTCCGCATTGGTGTAATTATGCATGCTGCTCGAAATCCATGCGGGAAATGAAGAATCCAGCTAATGCAGCGTTTTTATACACCGCACTATCAGCGCTGTTTACCGTTCAAAGCGGCATTATCGCACAGACATTGTCATACGAAATCTGTTTATTTAGGTCCCCTCTAACTGCCTTTACATTTTTTACATATAATTTTGAATCACCCTGTATATATATGAAGGACATTTTTTACTTATGTGATATTGTCTATACCTCAGAATACGTTCTTTCAAGAAGCTTGACTAAAATAGCAAATATTTTGCTTATTTACTTTCTATTTTTCATAGCGCTTCAAATTTCCTTCTGACGTCCCAGAGATGAATATAATAATAAGAATCATATAGAGATGAAAACAATTTACGTTACATAATTGCGCTTCCTACCTTTGCTAGTTACTATTTATCTTTATGAGATCGAAATTTCTCAGTTAGTAGGGGAGCTAGGGATTAATTGTAAAATTTTTTTGAAACTTATTTATACTTTTGAATGAATTTACGATTTTTTGCCTAATTGCTGTTTTTTCATAGGATAACTATTTATTCATCATATGCGAAAAAAAAAACATTTGGCAATTTTGTTGATTTTAGTGCAAAAGTATTTTATCAAAACTACTCGTCTGTTACAATTTGTCCTGGACTTGGTGTAAATTGTAACAGACATGGGACAAATAGTAACATTAAAAACGACAATATTTAAAAAGCACATGAAGGTTATTATAACCTGATGTAGTGGCAAGGAATGATACCGAAAGCTTTATAATAAAAAAAGGATAAAATTATTTAATCAACTAAAAACATAAAAGTCAGTCTTCATCAGAATTTCAATTAAAAAAATGATAGATTATTTCCTATCACGCACTGAACGTGTGCCCACATTTTACAAATTAAGCATTGCATCCATTCTTCTTCATCAGAATCGCTGCTGGCGCCTCCGCAAGTTAGGTTTAACCACTTTTCTCTCTCAGAATCTGTATATGAGTTCAAAATGCTTCTTTTTCCTCGTTTTATCCTTTTCTTTTTTCTTTTTGGATTTTTGTCTTAACCTTTCCTTTTCCTTTATCTTCCTTTTCGTTTCCGGTTCTTATTGATATCTCTTCATATTCTCTTTCCAATGCATCTGTTTCCGGTGAGTCAGTTACAACGGTAGATTTCCTCTTGCGTCGGGATCTATTAGTCTGTGTCCGAGATAAAGGTCTCAAGTTTTATCTTTGAAAGTCAAAAATTGATTTTTTTCTATTTTAAGGAAAAAAACTGGATGGAATAAAGGAATTAACATTTAAAGAAAGACGTTTCACTACATGAATCAAGATATCTGGCCACGTTGTAACATTGCTACAACTCGGCCCAAAATTCTGTTACAACTTGTTCCGTCGTAAGATTTCAGACATTTTTGTTGATTTATAAAAAACTACCGCGATTGGTAAAAAAATTTAAGCAGCACTTTAACACACAGTCAAAGTAAATAAGTGAAACCATTTTTATAAAAGATGTATAACACGCATTAAATCAGAGATTACTAAATATTCTTTTTCTATTAACTAGCTAAGATGAAGTATATGCAAACGATCTCTCACCACCTGTTTCGGCGGGGCATAGACTGTACTTACGTAATAGCGCGTGTAATAAGAATCACGTTTAGTGAAAATTCTGATGAAAAATTTTAAAAAACAACGCACCATCCTGATGGTATTCTAGTTAAGAAAGTTTACTGCAGTACCGAAGGTCCTGGGTTCGAAACCCGGAAAAGTCATGGATATTTGTATAGTGTCTCTGCGGTATGGGGGCCCTCTAACGAGCCGAACGTCTTCTCGAGAGATTTATGGTAGGAGAAGAGGGGTGGGAGACCCTCAGACCCGTCCGCTCCCGGGGTACTCTTCATCAAATTAGGGGCCGGAATGAGCGAAGTCGTATTGTCTGTGACCTGTCCCTTGCCAACGACGGGCGCAAGCTTGCTATCCTTGCCAAGATGAATTTCAGGGGCTTGTTCCGAGGTTGCTATCAGACAAGTGAGATAGGTCGCAACATAACAAAAACCACCGCTTATCCCTGTTACAACTACCCCTTAGCTCCCCTGCATTTAAATAACATGATATAAAGATACTGTAAACATACATGAGCGTGATGTCTTGTCCGACCGTAAGCTAAAACCCGCGTGCAGTGCAAATTAAAAAATTCACTTCACATAATCCCGTTAGGCAAAATTTTGTTTTGTATTTTTCATCAGATTTAAAAGCATTTTTCAGGCAACAGGAGCAAATTATAATCTTGTATACAGGAAAAAAAGGACTACACCTTTATCCTAAAATACTAACATTATCACGAGACAATTAATTGAACTTTGTGAATCGTTTTAGATAACCTTATCGAGTTTATAAAGTGATTTTTTTCTGCTACCAATCTATAATAAAGATGCAAGCAAAAGCAGTCATGAAAAATAATTAGAACACTTTAATGACACAGGATGTCATTCTAAGCATAAAATAACGAAAAAAGTTCTCATGCTGGAGTTCGCTGCTTTAGATGAATACGCAGAGGCTTTGAGTTTGCCAGTACCACCGTAAACATTTCCTGAGATCGACTTCTCGGATCCAAAGAAGTGAATTCAAACTTTCTTAATAATTTACTTACTATCACTTTCAGTTCCATCATAGCGAACTGGTAACCTGAAAAAAGACAATTAAAAACCGTATTCATAAATTGCAATGCTCTTATAGTTTGAAGCCTGGTGAACATCGTAGAAAAGTTTTGCTAAATATTGCAATAGTTCTACTTATAATTTACTTCATTAAAGATTCACATACTGTATATATTTTTATATGAACACAAGAAAAGCAAAATGTTATATTTCTCCCGCCTTCGTGGGGTAGTGGTCAGCACGCTCGACGCGATTTCAAGAGGTCCGTGGTTCGAGTTCCGGCGAGGGCAGTGCTCAATTTTCATGTCTCCTGCTTCAAAATGACCTAATGTCTCTACAATGTAACCTCCTTATTATTTAATGCCAGTATAAATAAAATGCGTTTAATATTGCAAAAATTTTCAGAAATTCATAATAATGTACAATATTGATGTTCCAGATCTTTACTACAGCCGTTTGTCAGACGAGTGCATTGTGGGAGAAAAACCTTGTCTGCACGATAGATTTATTCACAGCTACAAACAGACGCTTATTGCTTTTAAAATTATTACAAGTTTTCATTCTAAATTTCGATGTGAACTTAAATTAGTTTAGTTATTCATGCACAAAAGAAAAAATGATCTAAACCAACTTTTACTTCTACTTAAAAAGGTACAATGCAATTGAATCTTAAAAAAAGGGAGAAGAAAGCCGAGTTTTATATCTTTTTCGAAAACTGAAGAGTCAGATAGGACAAAATTATTTTTAGAGCTGAAATATTTGAAGTCACAAATTTTAATAAGGTTCCAGATAAGAAATCTCTAACCTCCGCGTATTTATTATTGGAATCTTCCGAATCCTAACCTAAAGATGGTAAAAACTTTTAACTCATGGGTTTCGAAAAATTACTGAACGATTCGTTTGTGTACTTGCAAATAACAACAGTGTCCCTGAAATAGAGATTATGAAGGAAATCGAGTATATTATTTGAAGTCGTTTGAATATTTTGGGAGCAATACATTTGAAATAATAGTTTTACATCGAACAAAACCAAACAATGAATGATTAACAAACTTTCTTTCGAGACAAAAGTTTCTTTCTCAGTGCGAACGTCTAAAATTAGGCGTATTTTGACAGACATGAAACAAGCAATCTTAACAGGAGGTACTGTAAATCCCACAGAACTCTTTTCAGATGGAGCTTTGTGTTGACGAATAACCTCAGAAGGAAACCGAAAACATCTAAACTGCGTCACCTAAATATTTACTCACCTTTTTCTCATCGTTATTTGATTTTTTTATGACTAATTTTGCACCAATGATTAAACACAGGGAAGTCACACTCAGTTCACTATAGACTACTAGAATGTAGGATGAAAATCCTAAACCTAGCCTAGAAGCCTAGAAGCCTAGAAGAATAAAAGTTAGATTGTCTCTTGTAATTACAAGTACTATAACTTAAAAGTATAATTAATTTTCCTACTAACCATGTGGCTGAATTGTGACATGATCATACACTGCTGGTCTTCAAAATTCAATACCAGGAAGAATAACAGATTTCAAAGCAATTGGGCAAACTATGTATATATTTATTGGACAATAATATAAGGAACAAGGTGATTAAAATTACGGCTGCATTTATCTTGCGAAACATGAAGAAATCAGTATCTTATGTGGCTAGCAATAACTGCTGCAGTATGCTTCGACATTGAAAGAAAGAACTTTGGATACGTTCTTGGCGTGGGTCACTTAATGCTGCTTCCACACGTTGCCAAAGTTAAGCCACAAGTGGTGTGTGCCAGATCATTCATTTTCTCATCTTAGTCCAGACGTGTTTTAGTTCAGGAGGATAAGAAAGCCAAGGCAGCAATACTACCTGGTGGGGTGTCACTGAAGAATTGTTGAATACTGGGGGGGGGGTTACGTGTTGTCGCGCATTCTTCAGGTGAAACTCAGCCGCAAGAGAGAACTTTGGATATGCTCTTGTCGTGGGTCAGTTCATGCTGCTTCCGCAGGCTGCTAAAATCAAGCCGCAAGTGATGTGTGCCAGATCACTCATTTGACATTTGCCAGATCACTCTTCATGTATAATTCACTTGAAGATATCGGAGGACAACAGGTTCCAAACTTGAGAAATGTAATGGCGTTCATTGAGTGGATTAGCAATATATATTAGGTGGGTGCAGAAATTTGTCTAATCCAGTGTTATTGCAATCGCAAACATTTGGGATGTAGATATGGCTATTGCATGCCGTATGCCGAGTACGATTGTGAAAAACAAAAAAGCTATTAAATCGGCTAACGTTACAAAGAGGGTAAAACTGATTACAAAGTAAAGATCAGAAATGTCGGAACATAATAAAATATTACTTTTGATTTGGATAGTAAAAAAACCTTTAAGTGCACTGTTACGTGCAATGATTCATATCTGTATCGCGTAAGTATATTTGATCTATTGCATTTGTTTTTAGAATTAAACAATGTAATAATATTAATACCAGGATTTTTGGTCCACTTTGGTATACGTCCAAGGATCTGAAACGGACTAATGACGTATATGAAGGCACTACTGTATTTTTAATTTTCTCTTTGGACTGATTTAGAAATCCAATTATTGTTACATCATATATACCTATATGAGAAAAAGTATTTGCAAGTAATTTTATATGCTTTATGTCTAGTAATTTTATTGTTCCATCGGAAACGTTTCCTTGGATTTTCAGTAAAACTTAATTTGCACTTACATGAACTTGAAACAGATATTGGGGAAAATACTCTAAATTCTCTACTTTCAGAAAAAAGCTCAGTTAACAGCTAATTTCCTACGTGCAAAAAGGCCAATCGCAGTTGAACGGTAAAGTTAATGAACACTGGTAGTTCCGTGTAGGAAACGGGTTGACTACATGGGCATCTTCATAGTTTTATAGCCTTAACCACATGTGAAGTGGATGTTTCTCTTAGAAAGCCTTCCATGAAGCATTCCATACTTTAGGCGGACAGTCCCAGTGTGCTTTGCCGAAACCAACTAAACCGACAAAACCAAACGTATAAACGAAAGAAAATAAACAAACAAAACACTTTTAGTTTTCAAAGGTAAACCTTCTTCATTTCTTGTATTCAGGCCTAATGCTTCAAAGATCGAATTTGCAATTCTAGTTAACGTTTCATTTTTTGCTACAGCATACTGACAACCAAAGAAATATATATCATTCGTTTATTATTTCATCATACATTATTTTATATTTTCGTTGCTAAAATTGATTAACATCATAGCTTTCCAGATTTTCAAAATTGAATTTTGCTTAATGAAAAGACACTGAATTTGAACTGAAGGAAAAATGAAATATTAAAAAATATTTAGGAAAGAATTTTCAGGAAAGTTAGACAGACGCATTAAGGTTTCAAACAAAATTTTGCTTTCAAAGTGAGTCAAAAAACGTTTACCTATGCACATCCTTGGGCCCATAGAAAAAGGCATGTATGCATACGGATGCCTGTTTTTGCAGTTTTCAGGTGAAAATCGCTCCGCATCAAATTCTTCAGGATTTGGAAAAATTTCTTGGTCTCTGTGCAGCTTGTAAACAGGTATAGCGCAGGTAACATCTTTCGGAATAGTGAACTTCCCTAAAATAAAATAATTTCAAAATTGAAATTTTTCAGATAATTGAAAACTGGGAAATCCAAAGAAATATTTATATGCATTTCAAATATATTTTAAAACAATCAGAATGAAATCTCAGTTTTCACTTTGTTTATCGAATAAATACATACTCATACTAGTGTACCATTCTTTAATCATTCATTTTTTACTGAAAAGGAATTTTTATTTTTTTTTATATTTTGGAAAATTATTTACTTCTGAAATATTTTCTGGGAATAAATAAATTTTGCACTAAAGAGATCAATATTCATCCCCACCAAGGTGCATTTTTCAGCTCTACTTCGCAATGATGAGTTTGTGTTAATTACGGCTTTGGAGATTTTCAGATGCTAAATTTTAGAAATTTTCTATGATGATTTATTTATCAATAATCTCATGCTGATTGAAACATATATTAACAGATTTCAATTGGCTTTTTCTATTAAATTAATTTTTTATTATATTTGTTGGGGACATGTGACTATAAGGTTTACTGCTTTATGAATGCATGAAAGAGAAGAATAATATTATTTTTAAATGCATATTTTAAAGCGGCATTTCCTCAGGAACTTATAAGTGTAGAAGTCATGTTTGTAGGTGAGAATAAAAGACGAAAAGAATTTTAAATTATATATCATAAAATTAAATTAATTAACATAAAATAAAACTGAAAACTAAAAAATCAAATATCAAGCGGTGACCGGAAAAATGCCCACAGGAAAAAAAGCCCACAGGTATAAAAATGATCACAGGTATGAATGCTCACATGGAAATAAGCCCACTGATAAACAAAATACGTAAAAATATCCTTAGATTAATCAATCAGTAATTAATCGATTTGAATATCGTACACCTACTTGAATTGTTCAAAGAAAAAATATTTTAATTATATGATACATATATATATATATAATATAGATATATATATATGATAATAATGATATATATACCAAAAAAAAAACTATGGTGTAATATATATATCAAAACGTATAAACGTGATGTGTGGATTCACTTGTTATTTATACTTAACAATGGGCCATTTTGAATTAGGAAAAGGAGCGCGAAGAAAAAGAAACAAGAAACAGAATATACAGTGAGAAATATTAACATTTCATTGTTAAAAATAAAATAATAGTAAATACAAGTTACATATTGTAATATAAACATTTAGAAGATTTAGAAAAATATAAATAATTTATTTTTAAATAAGTAAAATACTTATTATATATAAATCATAAATGTATATTCAAAAAGTTTATAAAATACATAAAACGGCTGAATGTTAGCTAATGATGTAAATAATTTCTAATTTTATTCATCGATTCACTCGTTCATTACAGAATTCGCGATTACAAAGGAAAGTTTTAATTTTTTTTTTGTTTTTTTGTCTTTAGTATGCCAATATTTACAATAGCTAATAATAAACGCTGACAGGCTAAATCTTTTTTCAGTCCGTCAAATAGAAACCACAAATTGGGATGGCTACAATTAAATAATGAATTTAGTACCTTATAAAAGCTTTCATAACAATTTGTGGTTTTAGGAGATTTTTCGAAAGCTGTTTCATATTGATTCCACACTTCGATTAGAAACTGTGGTCTTCTAGAACTTTTCTAGCTCCAAACTTAAATAACTACATTCAAACATTAATTTCTGTAGGTACACATCAAAAGTATGCAAAAATAGATTAAAAAAAAATTAACTATTGGCAGTTACAGGAATAAAAATGGACAGGGGCAGTGGTATAAAATATTATAGTACATGCAAAATTATACTGTAGTTTTCATTCATTTATATACCGCCCCTGAAAACTTTTATGTGAGCAGTAGTCCAATATTATTTTTTTTTTCAAATGATCAAATAATTTTTCTTTAAAAAATTAAGTAGGTGTACGTTGTTCAAAATTGATTGATTAATGTAAGGATATTTCTATGTATTTTATTTATCAGTGGGTTTATTTACATGTGAGCTTTTTTCTGTGTGAGCATATTTCTGTGCGCATTCTGTTCTTTTTTCCTGTGAGCATTTTTCCTGTGGTTTTTTTTCCTAGAACCGTATCAAGCATATTACAGCGTAGTTATATATCCTTAAAAAGCAAGCATTCCGGGAACGGACAAATCTCATGCTTCGCATTCTGTCGCAAGAGCATTAATCTAATTAAACCATGGAAGTAAGAATAAAAGGAGACTCCATCCCCGCACTACGCCTGACGTAGTGCTGTCGAACTTTGGTCTCTAAAGCAGGTGTGGTTTGTTTACATCCACAGTATGTTGACAGCGGTTTGGTGATACCTCTACCTATGACAGTTCCACAAATCGAAAAGCGGGGACACTCCCAGATGACAGAAATATTCATTGTTGAATGGGTAATAGCAATTTTCATAATTTAGTGGCATTTACTCAAAAATCACATCTTAGTTAATTTTCGATAACTTGCGACAGCAGTTTTGATTACGAATTTGTTTGATAAAAGCCTAAGCTATTGGACGACAAAAATATAGAGCTGAGGTGATGTGACCATATGAATGTGCCACATCATCATGACAGCTTATTAGGAATTTGGAAATAGGGTGATTCAGTGTTATTTAACCAGTATACATGTTGCCTATTGTTACATATTGAATTACCTTGGAATGTGGAAATGTTAGGTATTTGTGAATTTAGATCAATCAGTTGTTTTAACGATTTCAAAAAATAAAAGAAGCAGTGTTGTTATGCAGAGTTAAGACAATCAAGACTGTGGTCTGATGATCGTCAGGTTAATGCTTAAATATGAAATGGATAGTTGTTATTTATTGTATTACCAGAGAATTCTTAAATTGGGTAAAATTGCTAAGAGAGATATTTGAGTGCTTGGTCAAAATATATTTACTAGGAAATTTTAACTACTTAAAACTGAATGTACTTAAAAACGTGTTTAACTGAATGTACTTAAAAACGTGTTTTTAGTCAAAAGTATAAAATTTGATGCCAAAATGCAAATATAAAATTATGCATGTTAAAGTATTTCTAATTAGGCACATATGTCAGGTTAAGTTTATTTATAGAGTAAAGCATGTAAGGGCTGTCTCTCTAAGGGAAGAGGTGCCTTCGTGGATAAATTTTGAAGGAAACCTGATCTTTCAGTGCGTTATAAAAACGGATGTAATTTTCATTCAATTTATATTCATGCATATTTCTTATGTAAAAAATTCTGATACATGCTAAATAATTTCAAATTACTTTACTCGAAAAATATAGTGAAGGCTCAGATATAGATTTGCACATGCTGAAAATGAAAAATATTAAATACATATATATATGAATATTTACGTATATCCTTGGAAAGCAGACTTTCCTAAACAAAATAAGTAAATATTTATTAAGTTATTTATAAATGTAATTTGGAAATGAAGGAATCCTATGAATGTTACTGTGAAGGAATCTAGCTATTAAATGTATATAAAATTATATGATTATAAGTATTACTAACATTTAATTGTAAATACAAATTGAAATTCGGTTGACAAATATATTTATGAAACTATTTAAGCGAGCATTTTTCGTAATGGAAAACAATCTATTAAAATGATTGTTAAGCGCAGTCTATTAGATGCGCATTTAAGGATGTAGTAAAGTACAATTTTTAAACTGTGCATTCTTGAAATGTAGGATAATTTTTTTTATAATTATTAGAAGACTTATTTCCTTACATTTTATAATCATTCAATTAGAGGTTTTAAATAATATTAGCAATCCCCTTTTCTTTCAGAAATACTCACAGAAAGTTAAATACATGGAAATCAGTAGGAATATTTCATGTATTTCATGATTAAAATAAAAGATGCTCTTTTTTGAAATGGAACGAATGAAGCATAAATTATAAAGCGACTCTGATTTTTGATTTAAAAGATGCCTCAGAAAATAAAAATTATCTCATATTTGATAAAATATTTCAAAAAGAAGCTCTGTAAATAAAAGAAAAATAATGCGTGATTTTCGTATTAATAATACGATAAACTTTGAATTTAATTTTTGTGATCGTTAACCGAAAAAAAATAGAATTACCTTAAAATTTCTTTCTAATGTAATTAATGAAAACTTGTGAAAATATTTCATTTAAATTAAAACTGTTCTGGGGAAAGTATAGCATTTAACTCAGTTCAGAATGAAATTCTGTTTAAAAATGTATTTTTTCATATACTCAGGACTCTTAAATATTGTAGAAAAAGAAATATATACATATATATGCGTATTTACAACGTTATTTCAAAATGTTTTCCTCTGATCATGTCAAAACCTATTGAACGTGATGGCGAGCCACTGGATGTTTTGGTTTCCAAGAGGGGTGCGCCACTGCTTCATGGCAGTGTACAGAAAAACCAGTTATGTCCTCTCCTCTTATTTCCTTCGTCTATTAATTAAACAAATTTTCACTGACACTCAAAATTTTAACTAATAAAATATTCGAACGGCTATAGGCGGGTTCAGCATACAAATGTTAATAGAATTTGCCTATTTTTATTTAAGATATTAGATTATTTATTCTAAAACTAAAAAACTGAGTGAATGAAATCATCGAAGCATACAGCATTTTACAACAAAACATACATAAGAAAAAGCATGATATTGGGCTTTAAATTTATATACTGAAATTTTGTGTAAAACTGTTTCTTTATAACAGATACTTAACTCTGAATTACTGTTTCATTAATTTATTTTAGCTTCAAATATGGATATATATATTTACAGTCCCTTATTTTGCTTACATACTCGGGTGCTGCTTAAGTACGTGAAGAATAAAAACTATCGTTGCAAAAAGTGGCAGTTTTCTGAGCTACCACTTAGCACCAAACATAAACGCTGTCGCGAAATCTATGTAGGTGGTGGCAATACTTACGATACACAAACCTTCATGAAATGAATAACCATTTTATATGTAATGTTTAACGTGAGCAATACAAAAGCTGTGCGCGAATTCTATATCGCGAAATTCTGTGATTTTT